ATTATTTTTTCTTTTTTATATTTGATAAGAGATCTATTGAAATAGAAGTTAGCTTTTCTTTGGATTTAAAATTATATTAAAGTATATTTGTTAAATAGTCTTGACATGTTCTTTCTTTAATATTTTTTCTAATAATAGCTTCTTCTTAAGTTTTTATATTTATTTAATTTTTTTTATTGTTTTGAAAAGATATTTTAAGGAAGTCTTAATTGATATAGATTATATTTTAGATTGTTTTTTTTAAGATAGTCTTAATATTTGATATTGCTACTTCTCATATTTTTCGAATGAATTTTTTTATATTGAGATATAATACAATATATAGATTCTTTATATTTTCTTTTATAATATAATTGTTATTTTGAACCTGTGGATTAGTAGTGCAGTGGGTGCACTCCCAGGTCACTATCCACGAGTTACTGGTTCAATTCCACCTAGGAACAGTTTTCTCACAATATAGATTACATTGTACAAGATGCATGCTCATCACTATATGCACCTTTGTACTCACAAATAGCCTATAGATTTCTATTGTCTGACTATGGTATAAAATTCAGGTTATTCATGTCTTGGCCAGTTTTAGTGCTAAGAAAATCTTTGATAAAAACCTGCCACCTGGAATATGTAAAAATCCAAAACAAGCCAAGGAAAAATACCGATCAGCTTAAGCCTCTTAACAGATATGGGAAGGACATCCACCTCTCGTCAAAACTACATCCTTTGGGAGATAAGGAAGACTTTGGTCATTTGTACCTGTCGAAAATGTAACGGGCTATAACAATAATTAATGGGAGATTTCTATGATCGTGAAACTAATAGCTACCCAAAAGAGAACAGCTATTGTGGAGGCTGGTGGTTAGCGTTAGTGTCACATTGGGAAACCTGCAGGGGCAGACCCTGGGAGAAGAAATTCGAAAACAATCACCAAGGTAACCAATCCAATGGGAGAAGCAATCTATTACAAAGTAACCAAGAGAAACCCCTGTAAGGCCAACTTACAAGAGTGGTTAAAAATAAGGCAATGGAAAGCTATATGCACCCGATTATGTGATACCATTGAATCACCTGAATGTCAAGAACATGACCAGAGATTTGCACTATCTAAGTTTTAACTAGCCTATGGAGGATTCAAACATAGCAGGAATCATCTATGGTACCTACGATCATCAAGTGGTAAACAAGACCCTACTAAGGAACACATAACACAGCCCCTTGAAGATTAATAGAAAGAAGTCTATAGCAGAACTTTAGTATACTAATAGTCCCGGGCAGAGCAGAGCAACTGACAAAAATGATATCACTATGTGGTAAAATTGGCAAACCTAGCTAGGATAGGTAGTTAAAATAGGATTATATAAATTGCTCATATAATCTAAAAATGTACTACTAATTCCTCAATAAAGATTCGTCCTGTCAATTAAACTTTAAAAAAAAAAATAACTGTTATCTTGTATTATTTATTTTAAATATTTAAAATAACTTCATGACTTTATTTTCTGACTATTATTAGTACTATAGCAAATAAATTATTTTACTTTAACCTTATATTTTATTGTCTTTTGTTTTAACTTTTTCTATATTATATGTTTTCTATCATTAATTTTTATTATTATCTACAACTTTTGTTACTAGTTTTTATGTAATTTTATTATGAAATATTTTGATTCCTATTTTATATAATCCTCTTTTCAAGTTTTTATATACTATTGAAATTGATTCTTTAAAAAGATTTCTATTATAGTTTGAAACTATGCTGGGATAGAACCTTTACCTATTTTGTGTAAAAGTTAAAGCATTTATCAATCTCTTATTTGTTTAGTTTCTAGATTAAGCAACTGGTCTATATATATTAATATATTATTTTTAAGTATAATATGACTTTTTTATAATTTTTTAATATAAGATATTCCTAAAATAATTGTTTTTTTTACTTTATTTAAAAAATTTTTACTATTTTCAGTTAAAAAAATTATTTTTATATTTTTTATCGGCTTAATTACTTAAAGCATAAAATTGTATTTATAAAATAGATAGTTCAAAGATTTATAGATTAATAAATTGAGTGGTTCTCAATTTTTTGATCTATACTTGTTTAAGTCTAATAATTGTTATAATTTTTATTGATTTAAAATTATTTGGTCTATTATAAAGTTCTGATATTTGTCTTTTTTTGTTATAATATCTATAGAACTGAACTTGATCTTATAGTAGTTATAGAATCCAAAGCAGTCAAAATATTAAAATCTAAAAGTTAATCAAGTTTAAAAAAGTGATATAGGATTTAATCTAAAAGAAATAATAAAGAGACAAAACTGATAGAACCAGTTATTAAAGATGAGCTGAAATTAAAAAAAGCAAGAATGGAAATGAAGATCTTAATGAAAACTATTCTTAATAAATATAAATTAAAGGTAAACAAATGTTTTTTAAGTAATAAAAGTAAAAAAATATTATAAAAATTGATACTTAAATTAATAAACTTATAGTCTTATATTTTAATCCCTTATAAAAATAAATAAATAAATAATTAGGTACTTTATATCACTATCAGAGAAAAAGATATCAAAAGGCAAAAACTAGAAAACTGGAAATAAACAATCATTTCTTATATATAAATAGCTGATTAAATAAAGCAGGACTAATAATATTTTATATTTATACTATCTTAAAGTATTAATTTTTAATAAATAATTAAGAAAAAGGTACAAAAAATTAAAAACATATAGCCACTTATTGAATAATATTTAAAAAAGTTATCAAATATAAAAATAAATTAATAGATATAATTAAAAAAATAAAGATGTATTTATCTGAAGAAAATAAGATTAATTTGGAAAACTCCATTAAAATAAAAATAAAAATATATAATTATAGTTGATATTCTAAAGAGGTATTTTTCAACAATATATTTTATGCTAAATAATTACTATATTAATTATAACTATTTATAATTAAAGAATTTATTGAAATATTAGAATAAATATTTGTAATCAATTCAAATATTCCAGATAGCTTATAAATAATATTATGATAATTCAAATTTTTATTATGTAATACTAACAAAAGGTTTATCAAATTGGATATATAATTTGAAAGAGGTTTTAGAATATAAACAAGAAAAAAAGATAAAAAAAAAATAAAAAATTGATAGTTAAATTCAAAAAATAAAAATTACTAGATTAAAAAATTATTAATATATTCAGAAAGTGAGTAACAAATTGAAAAAAGAATATAAATGGATAAAATTTGAAGATAGTTAAGAAATTAGAAGAAAAAATGAAAATTTTCAAAAAATATTTGATATGATAAACTCAATTGGAACTAGTTTTAAAAGAATCAAGTTGAAATCTTTAAAAAAAAAAGAAAAGTAAGTGGAAGAAAAGGAAAAGGAGAAAAGAAAAAGGAAAGTAATGAATAGTTTAGTCAATTGATTTTGTAATTTTTTATAATTTTTTAATAAATTTCATGAAATTTGTTAAATTTCCTAAATATTTATCAAATTTTAATACTGGATCTATAACTTTTGTCAAATTTTTTACTATAGTATACAATTTTTTTTGCCAAATTTTTTGCTACAATATACAAAAAAAAATTTTTTTTTATTACATTATGTAAAGTTTTTTTTGTCCCAATATGCAAATTTTTTATACAATATATCAAAATTTTTCTATAATATTGTTGAATTTTGTGTTGAACTTTTTTGCTGATTTTTTACAGATATTTTTAATAATGAGTAATAGCAATTAAAAATGATTTGTAAATGTTTTTATTATTATATTTTACCAAATTTTGCAATAATTTGACTATTAAATAACATAATTTTGATTAGTAATATCTTCTTCAAGAATTTTAAAATAAAAAAAATATAAAGTTTATTATATAAAATAAAAATATCCTATCAATTGAATTATAGGTGACCTACATATTGAAAAAAATTTTAATCTTAATATTTATTTGAATAGAGAATGGTAGATTTTTTTAAAAAGGTAGATATGATAGTATATGTAATAAATCTATTTCAAAATCCAAAGAAGATACTAGATCATTAATTATATTAATAAAAACAAGTTCTTTGTTTATTAAAACAAAGAAGATATCAGTCATTGCTATTGCCAATATTCTCAATAATGAAATGGCCAAACACCTAGAAAACAAGCCAAGAAGACTTTGGAAGAAATATATGCTTTAAGGCAATAAATACATATTGCAGACTGTTATGGAATGTTACTTGAATCTTTGACTGAAGATTTTATTTCAGATTATGGTAGATATGATCATATGAAGGTTTAGAGCTTTTCCGGAAATTGCAAGATGCTGGAACTAATAATGAGTCAGTAGTTGAAGCTATCACCCGTGAAGATTATAGAAATGAGCGAACTAATGTTACCCACACTCATCAAAGATATCGATGATAGAAATAATATATAGCTGATATTGTTAAATCGTGTCTAGAATGCTCGAGTTTTTGATAATAAAGACGCGTCTCGTGGTGCTAAAAGATCTGGTTTAAAATCGGATAAAGCGAAACTTTGTTTATTAAATTCAGCGCTTTCCGCAACTTATGGGACAAAGTTTACAGCTAATAAAAATAACAATTTATCATTATCATCTAGTAGGTATGTTCGATAAAGAAAGCGTACCAAAGTTGCCGCCATACCAAATGGGTGGACATTTCTGTGAAAATGGTAAGGATATGCGTTATGGGTATAGTAAACTCTCACCCAACGAACTAGAGATCGCTCTCAGTTCTGATATACAGAATTATTTGAGGTAGCAATTTAGATAAAATCGGCTCGTGGATCGATAGCAAAACAGTTATTGTGTAACAGGAAGGAACTCTCATTTTACGGGTTAGGGCTCAAGATGTTTCCTCCCTTGAAACATTCATTTTATAAATTGATTTTGAAAAAATTAAAGATTTTCGCTTATAAAAAGATTTACAAATTTCAGACAAAAATAAAACTTTTTTATCGTTTCATCAATGTGAACTAAAATTTTCTCTATAAACTAAGATAGATATCGATTGATATCTCTGCTGACATTTCTAAATCCCATTACTACCCGAATGTAATCGGGATTAATTTCAAAAGATTTATTCCGAATTTTTCTAGACTTACTTTCCACTGTCACGTCTGTATCACTTTCGCTTGTAATCCATATAAATATTATCTCTAATCCGTCTTCGAAGCCTGATAAGTTTGATTTTAAATTTGGCCAAATACTGGAAAAAAATTTTCCCTCAGAATCTGAATGACCACTCTTATCAAGGGTAACCTGTACTGGGGCAACATACAACTTATTATTTGTTTGCGAAATCAGTAATCCCTCAATCGCCTCTTGGTTCCAACAACGTGGTAAGTAAAGCATACATTTCCCTTCATTCGAATAAAATCGGATTTGTTCCTCATCATTAAAAAATTCCATATCGTCAGGCTTAAAATTTACACCGTTTGCCATGATTCCATTCTTAAAAATACTAGCAATACACGCCTTCTCCACAAAAAATGCTTTAACCGATGTGTTGTTTTTGAATTTCTCTATGCAACTGATCCACTTTATAACTGTAAATACTTCCATTTTGCCCTTTTTATAGAGATGATTCGCCATGCAATCCCGTGCTGTCCCACAGACATAATGACAGAATTCATTTTCAATGTAGAAGAAGCGATGATCAAAATCATCAACTCCGTAGCCACTCGGTGGACGTCCTTTTGTCAGGAACGATGACATCAAGTCGAC